CCATGTTTTAACTACAAGCAGATAACAACATGAAATTTTGGAAAAGTATTAGTTATATCATTCAAATATTTTGTAAGATATCTGCTGAAAAGAGTTATAAATTTTTGTATTGTGTAATTAATTATTACAAAAATTAATAAACAAATAAACTGCTAACAACTCGCAACTAATTGCAATATAATGGAATATAAATTTCAAAAATTAAATTAAGAGTGTAACTCAGAGCTTAATCTTTGGTTAAAAAATAAATCAATTTCAATGCTAAATAATAAATAATTCTTTTAAGTAAGAGATGTGATTTTTCACGAAGATATAACAATTAACTTTATATAAACGTTATAATGATTAATTTCATATAAAAGATATAACAATAACCTATATGAAAATAAAAATTGATTTCTTTATACAAAAATTATATTATGCAGAATTTGAAATATATTTTAAATATAATATAAAACAAGGAAAATATATTTTCATGTTTATACTATTCATTACTGATTATTGAAAGAAAAAACTTACTCTCTCGAATAACAGCTGATACCTTCAGATTGGAAGTAAAGTTTAGAGGTTAAGTTAAAAGTGAAACACGTGCCGACATCTAAGGTTTGTTTTTTATTGCTGCATTAGATCAACTAAAACTTTCTTTTTTGCTAAGTTTCAAACAAAGGTGTAAGTTATATATTCAATTATAAAAAAACAGACCTTTACTTAATCTGCATCATTACATTTAAATAGCAGAACATTATTCAACTATTTAGTCATATAATATTACAATCTGTATATATTTTTATATATATATAAAAACTTGTATACAAAAAATTATATCTCTATAATGTGATCATTGATTAATTACTTATATAATTAATCAATGCTCACATTATAGAGATATAATTTTTTATATAATTATAAATAGAAATTATTTGTGTACTGGAGCCTCTCTGATCAGACATAGTCTCTACATTTTATTATAAAAGTACATAAAAAATATATATTTCGCAGATAAAATCCGATTATAACTGATCAGAATATAAGAGGATTTCGTTAACCTATATTCCCGATTGCACACATCATTCACATCGATCGATGCTTAGTAATTTTTTACTGTTTTACTAATTAGCGATGTGTGCAAAATGTGTACAATCAAATCCTTCTAGTTTTATTAAACTTGTTGATACAGAATTCGAGAAAAAAAAATCTTTTCTTCATCCCCTCTCTCTCTCTCTCTCTCTCTCTCTCTCACTCTCTCTCGTTTCAAGTATAAAATAAAATTTTAAATTAATTTTTTTAGTCTTTGGGAAAAATGTACTCGTACTAAATCGGTCCTTTATCTATGTATGTGATTTTCAGCGATTTTCAGCATTTCATGCACGCTGACTATCTTCTCCCGTATTTTCCCCAGCTGCTTACCGCGCTGTTGTTCAACGCGATCAATCTTCAGCCAATCTTCATAGGACACAGTCTGGACCAAGTTCTTATTGCACAACTCATAGCACAACTCGCGTCTGGCGTCACCTCCTTTCAGATTGGAGGGCAAGTCATTGTATATTAATCTAGCGACTTGGAAAGCGTTTCTCATAGTCGTAAGAATGACCCCAGTTGGACCAGTTCCTGCCCATCCTGCGACATAGAGAGGTGCTCGCTCACCGTTTCTCTCTTCAATCTTACCGTTAATGTTCTCCAAGCATCCCATCTTTGCATTACATGGTATAGCCTTATATATTTGCTCGGTCTTGTAACCGATACTGCGTAGAGCCAGACCGCATGGGATCTCTTCGAATTCGCCGGTCATCTCGGCTACCTGATTTTGTATCATCTCTCCTCGTAAATGATTGATAGCAAATTTGATGCTGTGTAATTCTTTACTGCCATGAAATTCGATGGGACTGCGTAGAAAGATCTGATGTAGTTCTTTTGTGTGCACCGAGTCATTCTTGGATTCTTCTAAAGACTTCAACATGAGTTCCGTTAATCGTTTCCGGGGTCTATCTAAAGTCGGTACAATTGTCTGTACGTTTTCGAAGTCTTGCTCCCGCCAAAAAGTTTTACAGTCTTGCAGTTTCAGAATTTCCCGCAGTTCTGCAGTTGTAAATGCAGCCTGCAAAGGTCCTCTTCGTCCAACCATGGTGACTTTTCGCACTCTACTGCGACTTAAAGCTTCCAAGGCATACGATGTAATATCAGTATTCTAAAATAACCAAGAGAGAGATTTCAATTGATAAAATTAAAAAATATTTTTTTAATCGTATAATTTAATCTTTAGAATTCTTATGTTATTTTGTCGTTATCCACATTCTTCTCTGATAGAAAATTTTTAATTAAAAATTAAACGCTAGAGATTTAGGTATCACCTTGAGCTTGTCGACCGGCGTTAAAAGAATCCTCGCCACATCTATGGCTACATTGCCTTGACCTATGATAACTGCTTCTTCTACATCTAAGTTAATCTTCAGATCTTTATCATCTGGCAGTCCATTGTACCAACCAACAAAATGCCGGGCTGATATTACATTGTTTAAGTGCTCACCAGGTACATTGAGAAATCGATCTTCTTGAGCGCCATAAGCCTGGAATAAAAATCAAAAAGTAATTATTAATTACAAAGATTTGGCATATACTAATATTAATTAGAATAAATAATTAGATTTTGAATTGATATGATTACTTGATACTTAAAAATTAATAATTGTAATACTTATATTATTAAAAGTATTATATATAATAAATAAAAATATGTAAATATAAAATTAGTAGTTACAAAAAATTTATAATATGTTCAAAAGTATTTAAATAAATTTAATTGCTGATTATAAAAGTTAATCCTTTTTTTTATTATAATTTACATTATTGAAATTATAATATTTAATATAAGCGAAGCTATTTATATCTCACAGATAAGGTGATGAATTCAGGAAATAAAAGTGTTAATTACATGAGTTAAGCGATAATACAATTCATTTTGAATACCAAACATACCAATAACACAGCATCATATAAATTTCGCAGATAGTTGACATCAATATTGATGCCAAGTCTAACATTGCCCAGGAATTCAACACGTGGATTGGTTGCGATTTTGTGAAATGTATTGAGGACGTTCTTCACATCCTGATGATCTGGAGCAACCCCATAGCGTATTAAACCAAAGGGAACTGGTTGCTTGTCCAGAATGGTGATTATTGCGTTGCTTGAATCCTGTTATCAATTTCATACAAATTTTATTTTCATTTCCTTATTCTATATACGATATTTATAAGAATTATTTAATAGATAATCTTATATACATACAAAATACTTATACTATTCTACTTATTACATATAAAATACTTATAATATTATGGAATATGCATGTCTTTGGAACAATTAATAAGACATTATCATTAATTATAATTAATCTATTTTGTATATGTATATTATACACACATGTTATATTACCCTCAGTAACTGTTGAGCTGCATAGAAGCCCGCTGGACCTGCACCGACGATGCATATCTGAGGTACGGATTGTTGTGTTACAGTACATAATAAACGAGTACAACTCTTAAGAATGTTGCATCTCATCTTTATATGTGGTAATGTTGATTCAAAATTAAGTTTCACTTATGATACGTTTCGACAAAATTGTTGAGCTCTCGAACGCTGCTCTGTTATTAGAATTAGAACAGTCCGTGAAAATGTTAGGAGGCAGAATCTTGATCACTGTTCTATGTAGTAAATTGCAAAATAATTATTTCTGTTTCTATAAAACAAGCAAATACAATGGATCTGGAAGTATTTATTAGCTCGTGTCATATTCGCTGTTCGATTAAAATATTACCGCATAAAGTTATCAGAAAATAAGAATTGAACGAAAGTTCGGGAGCATGTCCCTTTGACTTTGAGGTTAGTTTTGTTAAGTGCGCACGTGGCATTACATGAGTTTAAGTCGACAAAGTCGCGGCTAATTGGCTTGCCAAGCAAATGAACTTGATTGGTTGTTACTTACAGATCCAACCAATCACATTCAATCGCTCAGCAAGCATTCTAGCCGCTTTGTCCAGCTAGTGAAGGCGAACTAGGGAATTTAACAATATGATGTCTTTGTATTGTTTCTAAGATATTTAATGGATGCTTTTTGTTTACGACGTTCTTAACGACGTGTCGATTTGAAACTAATAACTTCGATTATGTGTTTTATATATGTAATAGCTAGGTATATAGAGAATAGTTAATGCACACAATATAATGATTTTCATAAATTAAAAGTACATAAAGTTGTTTTTATAATAATAATAATAATAATATAATCTGTTAAAAATTATTCATCAATTAAGAATACGCGGTAAGTATTGACAAAAGGGAATCTAGTTTCGATGATTTTGACATATATTATCAAGGTCATAATTCTAAGTGACTTTGAAAAAGTTTTAGTCGTAACTCGTTATCCATTAAAAAATAAATAATAAAACCGTGTTAAATAATAAAATCTTTTAAACAAGACTCTGCTTCAATGAAATAAATTCTCTGCTTTAAAAACGCAAATTATTTTTTATTACAATAATATAATTATTGTGTTTTTAAATAAGGAAATTCTTGTTTTAAAGCAGAAAATTTATGTTTTTAAATAAAGGAGACTTTCCACGCGAAGCGAGGTCTAACCCAACTCCCCCCCATGTCTAGAGGCAAAACCAGATCTATGACTATAATGTTTCACATATATGGGTTTTCAAATATACACACTTTATTATTCGTAATATATCTTCTAGGCCAATGTCATCTGTGCCTACATATTATAAAATTTTATTGATTATTGATTATTGATAAAAATTCAGTTGGATCATTTATTAGAATGAAAAGAAATGTGTTCATCTAAGTTATGACATTATAATTGAGAATTATGTGAGTTTTTATGTAAATGGAAAGTAATTATTATGATATTATTATATTAATTAAGTACATGCTTTCCAAAATTTTTTTAGAAGATATTGAATCCAAGGGCAACAAAAAAATTGTAAACACAAATGTTTCTGTTTCCAACATGTATTTCTACACTTTCTCACGTCTTTTATTCGATTTAGCTTATTTACATGGCGATCCGGGTGACAACAATATAATTTTATGGAACATAATTTGCAGGAGGTGTGTGTTGTCTTGCGATTGCTTCTTTCCTTTTGTCAACGATTGACTTTCTGCAGCCGACTTTCCGCGGATGTACTGCAGCTTTCGTCGCCGGTGAGTGCAATGCTTGCATGCAAACGCTTCTATTTCCTGTAGCCTAGCTTGCGTAGAGCCTTCAAGTCCACGTCACCATAATAGTCTTGGCTGAGAAATGTATGGAAATATTCCATATGACTTGATGAGTAACATATGATTATCTTAAGATTTGAAGTACGATTTAAATAATAATTTTTTATGTGAGTTTTTCGCGTAAAACTATACATTGATTTGTTATTTTTTATTTAATCGAGTCTGAATTCTAGAAATTGTAGAATTGATCATCATATTTAAAAAAAACTTAATTTCGCAAAAAGAAAGAAAAGAAATAACGGTCTTAATTAATTTTAACTTAATTAATTTGATTGACGTTTTAATTTGATTCCTAATTTTCTGCTTCATGCAATATTGAGCGTGATCTTGATTTTTTTAAATGTGCAATTACATTTTTTTTATTAAAGCAGATAGTTTTTATTAAAGTAAATAAAAAAAATTCGTAATTTGTCAAGATTGAAATACAATATACATGAGACATTATATACATCTGATACAAACAAGTTTCTTTCATGAAATATAATGTACATTTTCTTCAAATGACACTTCAGTTGTAATCAAAGTTAATTCGATATATACAGATTCGACTCATGCCAATTTTTAAGCTTAAGTTAAGATTTTCAGGCTGTGATTGATATATGTATACATGTACATTACATACGTTACAATTAACTTATGTACATCATTAGATAATAGTTTCATGCAAATGACTACACAGAGAATGTGCTAAGAAATCATTAAATATATTAAAAATTACAAATGGAAAAATGTGTCAATGATTGATAAAAGTAGATTAGGAGATATAGGAATTTATAGGAAATAGATAGAAAAATTGTTTATATTCTCACCACACGTTTAATATCAAATGTTATCTAATTTAGGCTATCTAATTTTTTTCTGATATATATAATACATAATGCAGCATTAGCATTAAATAAATAGCTTTTAGAATTCCGTCTAATTCTAATTATATAATTAGATCTTAGAATCAAATTGTTTTAATATTATATAAAGAGGTAGGTTATGGAATTATATATTATAAATAAAATTTTAACATTAACATGAAATATGTGGTGAAAATATAAGTCGAAGTCTTCAAGAATTTTCTCTCTTTTATTTAATGAAATTTTCATCTTACTTAAAGATACACGACAAATCTGATTTTGCTTACTTAATAGTAATTATTAGAGTTGAAAAGATTTCTAAACTGTATAGATCACACATATGGATCACATCGTGGATTGTTAACTACGCGAATCTGATAGATTTCAGTGTCATACATGACATAACTGATGTTTTTCCACTTTTCTTTATTATCGTGTGTCTTATTCAGGAATTAAAATGTGTGTAATTTCGTTAAATTTAGCTTTTTTAATTGTCTTACTTCTATAGAGAACAATTTTTATAAAATTTATGTATGTTCTGCAACAATAATAATTTTTAGGAAGTATTTTATCGATCATCTTTATAATTATATATATTATATAAACAAAAATTAATACTATGTACATTAAAATAAATCAGTACAGTGACAAGATGATCATAAAAATAATCAAAATATAATATTTATATATTCTTAGAAAATTGACAATTTTGTAAAAATGATCCTCAATTGTTTTCATGCGAAATTACAAGTTTTTAATTCCTATTCTCACTTTAATGAAAAAAAAAGACAAAAAAGACAGAAAAAAAGCTAGATTAGGAATAGTTTAGAGTGTGTGGATAGATTAGAAACAGTTGAGAAGATTAATTTTTTATTTATTATATAAAAGAGAAGTTGATAAAAAAAAAATCACCGATGAGGCGTCACAATTTACATAAATTTTGTGGAAGATTAATTTTTTGAGCATTTGTCAGGAAATTTTCCGAGGAATTTTATGCTGTATCAATGTTAATTATTATCAATTAAACATTGTATCAGCAGCAATGAAAAATTTAAATTTAGTCTTGTTAAACCTAAGGGGAATTCTTAAATATTATAAACTATAACTAATTTTGTGCCTATTAGAAAATTGCAACAGATTAAGTATATTAATTTTAAGACATTTTGTCAGTTTTTCAGAAATTTGTTCTGATAAGTATAATTACATTATTAGATTTTATAGTGATCACTCGTATTACTATATTGCAAAATGTAATATACAAGTGACAAAGAATTTTAAGTGAATTCTCGAAATTTGCAATTACTCGTCATATTAATTAATTGTGTGTATGTGTTTTCTTCTACAATTATAGAAAAAAAATTATAAGACAATTATATAATGACGAGTAATTAAGGTGACGAGAGAGAATTTCTCAAGAATATTTATAACAGCTCGATCGTGCATTTCATGTCCTCTCAGAATTTCGCGGGATTTGCTTTGAAATTTCGTTTTGAGATCGATTCTTGTGGGCCGCTATTCACTTCTTCTCCGGAGAAATCTTTATCTAATCAGGATTGTATTTTTTCAATTGTGTATGTGTATGCAAATGTATGTTTATGCGTGATAAAAGAAGGAGAGAAAAAAAGAAGTGAAAAATATAGAAGAAATAAGAGGAAGATATGAAACAATAAACAAAAATAGAGAAAGAGGATATAAAAAGAGGAACAGGAAGAAAGAAATTGACTTTGATATAATTTACATTGGCATAAAATCGATATAAATGTAAATAGATTAAAGAGATAGCATTATACAGAAGATATAACAAGATTTCAATAAATTTATCAATATTTTTGTTATTATTGAATTATAGAGGATTAAAATAAAATTATATAAACTTAAAGAAAAATTAAATTTTTTATTTAGAATACATTTTTAATATTTTATATTTTATTAAAAGATGGAACATAATTCTTTTTCTGAATTTTTAAGCATATAAATATGACTCTCAGAATTATATTATAATAAAAGTTCACCATTCATTGTAAAAAGGAGTGCTATTTATGATTAATTTATGATCTAGATTTTGCAATAATTTGTATTAAACGATAAAATTCGATAAAATTAAATGGTAGCAACAGAGAGAGAAAGAGAGAGGGGGGGGAGAGAGAGAGAGAGAGAGAGAGAGAAAGAGAGAGAGGGAGAGAGAATGTATGAAAAGAAAAAAAAAGTAGTAAGAAAAAGAGAAACAGAAAGAAATAGAAAGGAAAAGAGAGTTCGAAAAAGTAAAGGTTTGGAAGGAGAAAGAGCGAGGTAAATCAGGATTTATTCCTGGATGGGTGAGGGCCTCGTGGGCCCTCCTACTGTTGTGGGCCTAGGTTTGAGGGCCTGGTTCGGCTTTCTGGGCTCACTCTGGATGCCGGCAAGCAGCTCGCTCTTCCGGATGCTCTTCAGATCTAGGTCACCGTAGTAATCCTCACTGTGGAGCAAAACCGAGAAAAACCCGAGGTCAGGACATGCTCGGTGCGCACTACTGCGTACTGTTGCTGCGTGCGCTTGCCGTTATTTTGCAGACGAGATGCACATGCGTATACACGTAGGATAGCCATTGTTGCAAATAGTCATGAAAATTTGCAAACTACGATAAATGTCTCAGAATTATCGTTTCTTTTTTTGTTTTTAAATATTATAGAACGTAGCAAGAAAAATCTTTTCTTGTCGCCTTGTTTAGGTGTATATACACTTGTGCAAATTTTCATGGTTAAATGTCTAGCACTTCGATTTATTACATAGATTGTCAGATTAGAGTCATATTGATATTAATTTTAATTTTGATTTAATATAAATTCTTTAAATAAATATAGATAACAAATTTTTTTTACTTATATTTATAGAAAGAAACAATTTTTATATATTTTTTTCTGGACAATCTACGAATGGGGGCTGCTAATATTATAATACGATATTAGAACACTGAGATAGTTAACATATACGTTAGC